TTGCGCTTTTGCTCTTTTTGCACTTTTGCTCTTTTGCGCTTGCTGCGCTGTTGCTCTGCTGTTTTTTTTTTCTTTCTCTCTCTCTCTTTCTCTCCCTCTCTGCCCCTCTCTATTTCGGGGCCTCGCGTTCGTCCGGGATTTGCAGTTTTCGGGACGAGACGGGCTTCGCATACGAGGGGTGGTGAGCACCTACATTGTATTAAATCATCTGTATTAAATCACTCTTATCTCAACCCACGGGTTTCACGTTTATCCTTTAATTCTCTCCCTCATTCCTGGGGGTGGGGGAGGGGGAGTGACCGGCTGTGTGTGGGGCGGTTCAACATAACCCACGACACTGACCAAAACATTTTGGGTTCATTTTGTTTTTTCTCTATATAATCTGTAAATATCCTTGAAAAGAAGGAAAGTCTAATCTGATTTTTGTTAGAAGAATAATCTGGAAAAATAAAAGATCTGAGCTCAGTATGAAGACAAGGCTTAAGAAATAGGTAAGAATTAACGTGAAGTGAGTTGCAATTTTAAGCAGAATGAAGGATGCTAATTTACTTTTGTATCTTCTGTTTGCATGTTACAAAATACTTAAAATACATCATTTTTATCCTGACCTTGGCAGTTTTAATTCCAGTTGAAAACCTCATGCAGGACATTAACACTGAGTATTTTTTAATTCTTTTGGAGTTTCCTTTTGCCGCATTGATATATGCGTGTAGCTTCCATTACTTTTGCCATACATCTTCAGGGAAATCTCTCCTGGAGGTACCCAGGGCCCAACTAGAGTTTATATCTTTCAGTATGACAGATACAGTTTTGCTGTGGGGGTGGGCGGGAAGGGAGGTTCGGTTTTGCTTTTTAAACCTGCTGGCAATTACCTTCTAAGGCTTATGTTAAAACACCAGATATATTCAAAGATTATTCATAAATGCCACCTGCAAATTGTCTGCAGTTTCCCTTTTCCTTTTCTTACCTTTGTATGGCAGTCATGGGTGTGCTTTTCTTGAAAGGTGTCTGCAGAATTTTTCTCTTCATTCTCCTGAAAGATAAATGTGAAGATGGACGATTTCACTAGTTTTATTGTGCACAATCATCTGTATTTTGTTTTTGTTAAACTTTCTAAATACAACATTTAACTCAGTTGGATCTTAGATCAGTAGTCACATTAGCACTACAGCAAACTGCTTCTGGTTGTCACCTGTTTAATTTTTTTTATACAGTCTGCAGAAGATGATTTATTTTCTCTTGCTTTCTTTTCATACTTATGTCTTTTCTGTGCTTCATAATGTCTGATATTTACCTTTCTTCCCTTTTTGCAGTTTTAGTGTATTGCTCTGATTTATACTGTGTTGACTGGAAAGAAAACAAGGTGTTCCTTGTTACATAATTTTACATAAATGTAGTCATATTTCTAAATAAATGAGGATGTCTTCAGAATTTTTCAGAAATTTCAGAATATTCAGAAATGTTCCAGCTGTGGAAACTCATTTTATGAGACAATTTTTGATCAGACTTAAATGCAATCAGTTTCCTCATGAAAAATGGTTTACTTTTGTGATTTTAAGTCCTTTTCTTCCTCAAATATATTTCTCTTTTATGCTGTTTTCCCAAAAACTACATGGTGTTTTTTGAGCTCAGAGTTAAAAGGGAAAGCTGTTTCTGGTAGATTGATGTTATGAGGTCATACCATGTCTTTCATCACTATTTGTTTGCCTCAGTGTCCTTAATCAAAGTAGGCCTTTTCTGTTTTCTGTTTATGGGTTGTGAACTCTTCTTTACATTCTCAAAATTAAAGATCTTATAAAGTATATTATCATCATGCACACAACCACAGATTATGTTCTGCATCATGTTATTACTTGATAATGAAAATGCTGTCTTATCCTTATTTCCCTTTGACTTTCCCATTATTCACATGCCTACCCAGCAAATATTTTCATAAATTCTCTTATCTGAATATTTGCACTGTCCTTAATTATTTAAAGTGGAACCTCTGTGCCAAACAAAATTTGGTTGAAAGGCAGCAAATCCAAGAGAGAAAACCTGCATAGTAAACATCAATTTCAGCAACTGAATTAACTTTCTATTTGTTCAAAATATAGAGAGGAACACTTGTAAAACTTGAGAAGAATCTTGTTTGTGGTTCAATAACTGAAACCTAACTATTGAGGGCAGTATAGCCTTTATGTATGTTTAGAGAGTCACTTAGTACCTTCCATCCTTGGCTTTGTCATTCTGCAGGTGTGACTCCGCAGTCTGGGTGTTGATTTTGGCAGAAACAATTTTGTGGAGTTTCTAGCGTACATGTTTTCTAATGTAGTGTAAGTTTGTTCTTGTTGATTTAATGTTATCAAAACTATTTCAGGCTGTTGACTGCTGCCTTATTGTTGGCATGTGCCAACACTGTAACATATCCTGCTTGGAGATTAGTAGCGCTGAAACAACAGTCTAATGAAAAGAGAGAGGTCCCTACTCAGCAGGAGTAGGAACTTGCTAGTTCCTGTTGAAATGAACAGAAAACTCAAGTTCAACAAATTCTTCCGCCTCCCTGGGCAGAAGGAGTGGATTTATCAATGAACACGGGCTAATACGCAGCCTTGTTCCATGGAAGGCTGATGCATTTTTTTTTCCTTTCCTTGCTAATTGGCAGTGTCAAGTTAATACTTTGTGATAGGAGGACAAAGTTAATTCTTTCTGGTTGATGAGACAGCAGTTGTGGAAAAATACATTTTGGACTGTATCTGTTATTTTTCCTTCTATCTTTCTAATCTTTCTCTGTCTTATTCTTTAGGTCTACTTGGGATACTGGAAAGAATATCATGTATGCTCTAGTGACTGTTTATCCTTGCAACTGCTGTAAAATAGCTTGAGGTAGTTTTAATTGGTAACACATTCCTTTTGTTGTTGGTTTGTTTTTTTTTTTCTTTTTTCCTGCAGTTGCTGTATGTCCAGATAGAGAGAAGTTGGAATTTATTAGTATGTTCATGCATGTCCATCAAATTAGGACCACAGTAGATCAAGTATTGTAGTGATGGTAAACTCTGTAGCTGATTGTTGGATTGGATTACGCCTCTCTCCCTGTATGTGTAAATGTGTACTGACAGATACCTTCTAGCCAGGCTTGACTGTATTAACAGCTGGGAATTCTAGTTTCTTCTGTAGCTTTGAGAATTTTTTGTGCTGTCTTATATGACTAGAAGTTAACAACAGACAGTGTTTCTGGACTCTTTTAATCAACCTAACAAGGGTGATTATAATGCAGGTGGCCAGGACAGAATGAAACACAAGCCATACTATCGTAAATGTCAGAAATAATTGTACTAGTATTTTGCCTTTTCATGGGCAGCATCTTGGAGGGCCAGCTCAGCTTTTTTGCTTAGGTCTGCTGCAGCTGACTGGAACAGTATTTACGTGTATGAGTTACGTGTTGGGGTAGGGTGGAGACCTTGAACACGTTATGGTTAGTGTTGCGATTCTGTACTCAGTCTGAAAACCAGCTCTGACCAGGAGTCATGCAGCTGAGTAGAATCATAATTCTAACCTATGCCAACAACAGCAGTGAAACTGGGCTTGTTAACTGGCTGATTGTATTTCTGGAATCACGCTGGTGCGGTTAGAACTGGAGTTGCAGACAAGCTTGAGTAGCTCTGCACTGTTTTTCCTCCTGTTTGACCTCCAGGAGACAATATAAATAAAAGAAACCTCTCTCACACATACCACGCTCTTGCCAGGAAAAGGGAAAGATCAAATCTTTATCTAAAACAAACTCCAGTGATGTGACAGCTGTTTGCTGTTTCCTTGCTGTTTGCACTGGCTGTGTGGCTTCGTGTTCATAGATCAAATTTTCAAAGTGTAGTTTCTCCAGTTTATGTTCTCGCTCTCTGTACTCAGCGGCTGGGTAGTGGGATTACCACACTGATCCTAAGTAGGAAGGATTGCAGCGATCCAGGTGCTCCCACTGTTCTTGATGCAGCTCACCAAATGGGCAGGAAAACCACATATTTCTTCCTCTCTTCCCTTATAACATTGAAAAAATTGTTGCTTAATGAGTAGAAGTTGTAGAAAGTAACACAGCTTTAAGTAACATTAACTCCCCAAGAGAATGTGTGATTTTTTGATTTGAGAGGAGTGAAAGATACCGATGGTAAGCCAGCAGCCAGATGGCTTGGCAGTAGCCATGCCATGTTACCATGAATGCGGAGATCAAAAAAGAAGTGTTTTGGGATTTTCCACATTTTTGTTTATCTCACAGTTGCTGTGCATAGATGCGTCTACAAGATTTCCAGAGTATTCTGAAATCCCAAAATCTCCTCAGCTTTGTTAAGAGTTATATTGCAGATTATAATACCCCATAGAGAATCGGGAAAACTGGATACAGAGTTCACAAGAATTTCTTGGACCAACTCCTAAATTTAGCATTGGAAGATGTAATTGACCTTGACATAACTGGTGCTGCATAACCGCTTTAAAGCTGAAGTAATGTCTGTTTTTAAGATAGGCTGAAATCATAACCCTGGGTTTTTTTTGTTTGGTTGTTTGTTTTTTGTTTGGTTGTTTGTTTTTTGTTTGGTTGTTTGTTTTTTGTTTGGTTGTTTTTTGTTTTGTTTCGTTGTTGTTGCTTTTTTTTTTTTAGTGTCCTGCCTGTTCTTGGTGTAGCTCTTTATATACTGTGATTTATAGAGCACTTCCTTTAAACAAGCAAATAATTTCTTTCTATCACAGACCATAAAAGCTAAATACTGGTTTGGGACTGTTACAAGAATAGGTACTACAGTCATGTCATTTGTAATGCTCCTTCATGCCATTTTGCACAGCAACTAGGAGATATCCCTGAAATTATAGGACCTTTAACTGTGTCACTATTGACATTACCTGCTGGAACTCTTCAGAAGCAGGCATTTCTTATAATATTTAATGAATGAACGCTCATGCTTTGCATTGTAAAATACAATCTTCTGACTCTGTAGGGACTTAATGAAAAGGATTATTAGTTTTGTTTCCTCTTTCCAGATGGAAATGTCAGAAGATGATATTAATACGGAGGAATACCCCACTGAAATTCATGATTATCTTGCAGCATTTGAAAAATCTCTTGGTTCTGTAGATGAGATGCTGAAGAAAATGATGTCAGTTTCCAGGAGTGAGCTTCTTGAAAAGGTAAATAATCTTTTGACAACCTTTTTGTTATTAATCCAAGAATACCTGGGAACCCAAACTGAAATAAAAAGGTCTGTTAGGCTAGCCACTGCACAGAGAAATAACAAACATAACGCTTCCTACCCTTGATTCCTAATATTTTAAATTCTTACATTTCTAAGATATCCAGATGGTC